CACCCCAGAGATGGATTCCACGTTAGAACCCAGCCACGTCTTTGGCAGTCTCTTGGCTCTGCCTCTCCCCCTTCTACTCCTTTCTCTCTCTCATTCTCCCTTCTCTCCCTTCTCCCTTTCGCCCTGCGTCCACCTCCCTATCCCTCACCTGCATAAACAATAGCAACGCAAGGGGCATATAACTGCTGTGGCCTGTAAATGCCCATTTGGAGATGGAGATGAATGAGGCTGTGAGTGGTAAAGCTTGGGCTTCTCTGCACCTAAGAAATCCTCAAGGGCATAATTTGCTTTTGCACTTAAATAGGGGAGTGGTACAAAATAACTGGCCATTGGGTTTCTATTAGTCACATATTGGTGAGAGCTCTGGCCTTGGAAACCCTTGATATGCAGATGTTCTTCTGCCCCCAAGAGGAACTTGGACTTACTTCCTACTTCAGCCCTTGTGGGGAGATTGACCTCAGGAGGAACCTGAGCTTGTAGAGATGTTGTGGAATACACTCATGACCACCGATTTCACTGTAGTGGGTTTGACTCACCATCTTTTTTTTTTTTTTTTAACTGGGAAAGCTATATAACCACATTAAAGAGATCTGTAGCAGAAGCAGTAGAAGACCCATGATGCCTGCTGACTCACTGGCTGATGACTGATTTCCTACACATTCAACTGGGGTTGTCTGCTTCTCTTGCCCTGTTTCTTGAGCCCAAGCGACCCCCACAGACTGCCACCTGCTCAGTAGGTTATGTCAGAAGGCCATAAGGGCCAGATTTAAGCTATTTTTCATTTAAATAGGTGTCCCTAGAAATAGCCACATGGACTCACCTAGTACAGTATTTAAGTCCCCAGCTTTTGAAGTGACGCTATCTTGTAAAACCTACAGAAAATTTGGGCTCCAATTGTTACAGCTACGCTTCCCAGCACTCAGCTTGCAACCCCTTATGTAGATAAAACTAAGGTTGCTAACACCCAGTTTTAAATATAGCATTTTTGTTCAAAGAATAGCAACACTGGACCAGGCGCAGTGGCTCACACCTGTAATCCCAATACTTTGGGAGGCCTAGAAGGAAGGATCACTTGAGCCCAGGAGTTTGAGACCAGCCTGGGCAGCATAGTGAGACCTTGTCTCTACAAATAATAAAAAAATTAGGCAAGCAAGGTGGCATGTGTCTGTGGTTTCAGCTACTCGGGAGGTTAAGTGGAAGGACTGCTTGAGTGCAGATGGTCGCGATGGCAGCAAGCTCTGATGATGCCACTGAACTCCAGCCTGGGCAACAGAGCACGACCCTGTTTCAAAAAAAAAAAAAAAAGATTCATTATTGGAATGTGTGGTCCTTTCATAGAGCCACAGATTTTGAAGCACGGATCTTAATGTTTTGTGCCCTTCCCCTTCTTATTCAACCCCCTTTCTTGAAATTACAGTTATGTCTGACAACTGAGTGACAGTGTGACCTTTTATCCAGTATCATCGAGCCTTCAATTAGTGTCTCCTTTTGGCAGATGTCTCATTTACTGCTTCATGTTCAGGCTTTTCTCATTATTCTAATTGCTAATTAGGGTAATAATAAATATCTTGCCCCAGGTTACATGTCACGATGTTGCTTTATTGGGGATATCATTCACTTCTTCAACTTTGATTTAGTTCGTTTGCCTCCGTGTTTCTTGGATTCCAGAAGATTATACACCACCAAAACCTTACATCTAACTAAAAAATTATTTAGCTAAAAATTTGTTATAAAATGGTCCTCTAGAGCAGTGGTTCTCAAAATAAAATTTGGGACGTTGACCAAGGTGGTTGACCTATCTCGAAGGGTTATGGTCTCTGTATGTCCAAAAGCTAAACTTCTCTTTTCTGAAGCCTACCCCCAGTGCCCAGTCTTCTACTGGATTAAAGGGAACAGTTTTTCTTCTCAGCCATCCTTCTTTCTGCCTGCACCCCATTACCTGTCAAATCCTGTTCCTGAGTGCTGCAGCACGCCCAGTGCCTTGGTCCTTCCCGGTTCCCAACTCCCACTGCCCTCTCCAGGTCTGTAGGGGTTGGTTTCTCTCCAGTCTCTCCTCTCCCTCCTGTTCCACACACTGCGTCCACTTCTTGTAGATTTCTTTCTAACCCGTTCGCCTATCCTCACCACTTCCCTGCTGGAAACCTCAGTGTCTCTAGCAAGGTGTTTGTCAAACCTTAGCGGCCCCTGGAAGGCTTCTGAACGCGCAGATTGCTGGATTGCATCCCCAGAATTTTGGATTCGGCAGGTCTGCTGTGATTTGCTTTCCTAACCAGTGCCAGGTGTTCCGCAGACCACACTTTGAGAACCTTGGCTTTAGGATGAGCCTGTGTACCTGAGATTTCAGGCTTGCTTCTGTCTGTTCATCCTGACTCTCCCTGCACTCTTCTGCTCAGCCAGGGCTCCCTGAAGTCCCTCTGGTCACTTAGGGACAAGACTTGGGCTCCTTCAGAACAGGCTTGTGTCTTGTTCACCTTATCCCCATCTGCCCTTTCACAGCTAGGGGAGTTCCTCTGCAGAGTGTCGTTGAAGAGATAGCGCTGAAAAAGACCGTGAATGCTTTTCTGTTGTGTCAAGAGGTATAGAAGGCACCATCCTAAGCAGAGCATCGTGAGGACCTCCCTGTGGGCGGCCAGGCCGCCTGCATCTCTAGGCCATGCTGAGACAACCACACTTCACCGTCATGCTTGGTGCTTTTCTTTTCTCTTTTCACACCCTCTCAGTCTTCCTGTTTTCTATCATTTTGTCCGTTCCCCCTTTCTCTTCCTACCTTAGCCTTGGTACCTTAGGTGTTTCTGGTGGCTTCATGGGTTAAAGAGGCTTCTGATATTCTCTACCAAGCCAGAAAATTGCTTCTGAATTTCAGGCTATTTGTTGGAGTCAAGATTGAGGTGATGGAGGACTTGTACTGTAGTTAGAGCATGTTATTGGGTGCACAAGTAATATTCTACACAATCATATTTTACAGGAAAGTTCTTCTTTAACAAAAAATAACCCTGGAAGTGGACTCATGGTGTCTCTATGTTACAGAAAAGAAAACAGACTCAGCAATTAAGTAACAATAATGCGTGACACTAATGCGAAGATACTCTTCCATTCTTGTGCACACAAAGAATAACGTTTTTGCTTTACAAAGCAGCATGCTGTAGTTAGTATGTTTGGAATCACAGCCATAGGTGTTAGAAAGTTTCTGCCAAGAGAGAGAAGACATTGTGATGATTAAAAGATACGATTGGGTCATATTTACTCCAGAAAAGTATTTGCAGTTTTGGATCAAGAGTTAAATACACATATGTGGCACACAGTGGATATTGACAGAATGTCTGTAAATGTAGAAGCATAGAAAAAAGACTGGGAGGAATTTACCAAACTACTAATAGTAATCATTTTTCCTTGATATACTTCTGTATCACTTAAATGTTTTTTAAACAGTATATGCATTATAACTTAAGGATGGACAAAAAGCAAAAGAGCTTGTAGAAAGAGGAATGGATAATCCTAATGAAAATACAAGAGTCCGTGGAAACAGATCAGGCAGTCATCACCTTCTAAGGGGTCTCCCTGTGAGTTCATCCCCTGGCACCCATCCATTTCCTCCTCCACGCTGCCCTCCTCAGCGCTGCCACCCTACTCTGACACCTAGCTTTTCCCCACTTCTTTCTGGTGTCTCCTGTTTTCTTTCATCACATCTTAAGCCAGAAGTGATCTCTTCCACTTTTGGACAGCTCTTTCCTGTTGGTACCAGAAGTTATCGTATCACAGTCTAATTTCTCCAAGTGTTTCCAGACTGTTGTAAAAGTGAAGGCCCCTCTCTGAAATTTAAAGAACAAGTGGCAGGCTGTAACGTCACAGTCACTGAGCTTTTTTTTATCAGTCTCTAAAAAGTGCTTTTTGGCTTTCTGTGGATGTCTGGATGCCTTACAGTGTCCTTTGGCCCCAGAGGACTCAGCAGCTCCCATTGGAGACCTGCTACCTCTAAAGACTACTGCTGCTACTGTGGGAGGCTAGGCCCCGCCGCCTTATCCATCATTAGGAGTTCTTGTGCATAGCAAATATACTCAGGAAGCCAACAGATGAAGATGACTTAGAGAAGGGTGCACAGCGATGTCAAGTCTGCACACCTATAAATGTTGCACCTAAAACTAGTGAAGACCTGTCTCTGCACAATCATATGTTTTGTAGCTGATTATTTTAACTGTTAGAGATGCTATGAAAGACAGTGAAGTTTCTAACAGATTATATTGCGCTTGGTGAGGAGATAAAATAGTGGAAATAGTCTCAAAAAGAATATAGGAAACATTTTAGAAGTATAGCCAAGTGGGGTTTCATTTCCACCAGGGCTGAGCAGGATCAGTCCTCTGTGTTGTGGATGGCAGTGGCTTGAGAACTGGCAATGTGTGTAGTGGTGGCAGTTTCTGGCTCTTCTCTTGCTCTCTTTGGCCTTATCTGGCAGGGCCAGCACTTACAGGTCTGTGAACCTGTTTTCTTTCTTCAGGCATCTTTTTGACAGCCCTGTTATCTTAGCTGTGGTTCCCCGGAGCCCGTGCTTACCTCTAGGCGAACGATGGGTTTACCTCAGCACATCTTCCGCCACAGTCTTTCAGCACTCGCTCACTGAGCAGCTGTTCCGCAGGGGGCCGCCTGGAGGGGTGCGGGTACCACAGGGGCCTGTTAGACTTTGTATTTAATTTTTAAGCATTTTATTTATTTTTTTAATGGACAAATACAAATTATATGTATTTATGGTGTATAATAGGAGGAACGAGTTCGGGACATCTATTTTTAATTAAAATGGTGACTATGTGCATTATTAGTTGGTGACTGTAGTTAGTAACAGTGTATCATATACCTGAAATTACTAAGAGAATAGATTTTAAGTGTTCTCACTGCAAGTAAGTGATAAGGATGTAAAGGAATGGATATGTTAATTAGCTTGATTTAGCCATTCCACAGCGCGTACGTATTTCATCGCCTTCTAACACGCCCCCTTTCTTCTTGGATAGGGCAGTGGTGGTGCACGAAGATCCGCACTGCTTGACAGCGACGAGCCCTTGGTGTATTTCTATGAGGATGTCACAACGTTATACGAAGGTTTCCAGAGGGGAATACAGGTGTCAAGTAAGCATTTTCCTGCGTTTGCGTGGCTGCCGCTTGCTGTGTTTCATGAAGAACGAGTGGCCTTTCAGAAATGCACATTTGCTCTATCTTTCGCCGCCTTAGTATCGCTCAGGCCCCTCTGTGTCCACTGTAACTTCCCCAGAGTCTGTCCCAAAGCTCACTGGACCCTCTAGATGTTCCCTATGGCCCCGGGGCTCCATGGTCAAATATGTGAGTGTCACATTCTGTATTTTATGGTGAGTCACATGTTACACCAGTGCACAGTAGGCTCTGACGTTTCCTGCAATAAAGAGGTCTGTTAAACTGGTTCCAATCCAGCATTTTTCATGCTTACTTGACCAAGAGACCCATATTTTGAGAAAGAAATACTGACATCCCAGGATGGCAGTGTTCTGTTAGAGACACTTGGGAAATGTTGGCTCATGGGATTACCCTTAATTATTAACTGTGGCGTAAGAAACCCTGTGATATCCAGCATACCTCCTTTCCAGCCTCTGTCCCTCCCAGGCCTCCTGTATATGGCTCTCAGGTCATACTGAACTTCCTGCAGAGCCACGACTACCTCTGCTCTCTCCCCAGCCCTGAGCCTTTGTGCAGTTTTATTTTGTTTTTTAGAAATGGGGTCTTGCTATGTTGCCCAGGCTGGACTCAAACTTCTGGCCTCAAGTGAGCCTCCTGCCTCAGCCTCCCAAAGTACTGGGACTACAGGTGTGAGTCACCGTGCCCAGACTTGTGCACTTTTTTTTTTTTTTGGAGACGGAATTTTGCTCTTGTTGCCCAGGCTAGAGTGCAATGGCGTGATCTTGGCTCACCGCAACCTACACCTCCCAGGTTCAAGTGATTCTCCTGCCTCTGCCTCCCGAGTAGCTGGGATTACAGGCGCCCACTACCTCGCCTGGCTAATTTTTGTATTTTTAGTAGAGATGGAGTTTCAACATGTTGGCCAGGCTGGTCTCAAACTCCTGACCTCAGTGATCCACCCGCCTCGGCCTCCCAAAATACTGGGATTACAGGCCTGAGCCACCATGCCCAGCCATGCACTTTTTTTTCTTGATCATAAAGCCTCTTTCTACCCCCAGCCTGGACGCTTGATGTATTCTTTAATCTTTTAAAACTCTCTGCATTTCACCTTTTCTCTAAAACCTTCCTAGTCTATCATTTTCATCCCCTACCTCCCAGTGAGGTGTTTCTTCCCTTTTCCCTTCCAGCACGTTATATTCCTTCTGCATAAACCCTGATGGCACAGAGGTGTTCACCTGGCATTGTGCCCCCCTAGCCCGAGCTCCTTGAGAACAAGGTGGCTGTCAGTCATCTCTTTTCACAGCATTGACAGTGCCTGGCACACAGTGAGCGCCCCACTAATTCATCCTCAGTGAAGGAGGGAGTACCTCTGGTTTCTCCACCCCTCTTTCTGTTTTAGCCACTTCATTTTTGCTTATACCAAGTACTTCTCTAAAAATGGTCTTGGAATCTGTGCTTTGTTATTTAAATCCTCTGATGCTTAGCTTTTATTTGGGCCACTGCTAGCTAGATTGTAATCCCTTTATGGTCAGGAACCATGTGGTATTGCTGGCTCTATCCCTCATGATATGTTGCATGTAATATGCACTCAAGAAGTGCCTATTGGCCGGGTGTGGTGGCTCACGCCTGTAATCCCAGCATTTTGGAAGGCCGACGCGGGCATATCATGAGGTCAGGAGTTCAAGACCAGCCTGACCAACATGGTGAAACTCCGTCTCTACTGAAAATACAAAAATAGCTGGGCATGGTGGCACGTGTCCGTAATCCCAGCTACTCAGGAGGCTGAGGCAGGAGAATCGCTTTAACTGGGGAGGTGGAGGTTGCAGTGAGCCGAGATTGTACCATTGCACTCCAGCCTGGATGACACAGCGAGACTCCGTCTCAAAAAAAAAAAAAAAAGCCTATTGTTTTTTGCTTAACACTGGTAACTGGATGTCTCAGCTTGGCGAGTTTGTCCCAGTGTTCCCATAGCAGGTGCATTAAGCCCATTACAAAGGAAGAGCAAGCTTACTTGTGTGTTATTTAATTTATGAACATTTTCAAAGTTGGTGTCAAGGTCAGGATTTGTCTGTGATAGTAAATATCCATCAGGTGGATCAGCCTAGCATGTGGCACATGAAACAGAGTGTGTGTGTGTGTGTTCGTGTTCGTGTTCTTTACCACCATCACAGAGCATGTGCAGTTCTTGGAAACTGCAACTTGAAAACGACTATAATGAAACCAATTTTCTCATAGGAACAAGAGTTAAATTCCCACAGCATATTTCTAGTCACAAAAACATCACCAAACTTCTAAATAAAGACCACACTTCTTATATTAAACATTGAAATAAATGTGAGTGCTACATACATTTAGGAACAATTAATACAAACAAGTAAGATAAATATTTACCTGTTTATTCCAGTTCAGGGTCATGGGTGACTGGAGCCCATCTGGGTAGCTGAGGATGTCAGGGGGGAACTGCCCTGGCCAGGACACCCTCCCATCGTAGGGAGACTCATACTCACACCCACTCACACTCACACTCACTAGGACCGTGGAGATGCACCAGATCACCCCACAGGCACAGCTTTGGGATGTGGGAGGAAGCCAGAGTTCCCAGGAAAAACCACACAGATGTGGGGAGAACGTGCAAATGAAATGCCGTTATTTGAGGACCTGCTGTATACATGTAAGTGTATACACATTCATCGAGGAGTGTGGTGACTTACATTATGCTTTTGACTCTCCCCTGATCTGAAGACAAGTCACATAACTTTTCTTTGGTCACTTGCTCCCCCTGGAAAGTGAAAGTCCTATGGATGTGTCGGAGAAGGTGAAGGAAAGTGAGTCCAGTCTTCTTGATCTGTACTTATTGAAGGGAGCTGCTTTGCAGGTCTCAATTTACTTCCTTTTTTATTTTTATTTTTCTAGAAGATCTTTTTATTCTAAGCTTTGATTTTCTTAGGCTACTGTAGAGTTAAACTTCTACAAAAGAGCAAGACTCAGCATTTGGATAAGGGGTCAGAAGTTTGTTGAATGATAGAAGAAGCCCACCTAGAGGTTTTAAACCTCGTACTTTAAAATTGCACCAAGGAAGTCATTTGTAAAGATTGAGCTCCCTGCTTCTCAGTGCCTCTCATCTCTAGCTGCACTTTTGTGCCATCGGGGAACTCCTGGAAAATACTGAGCCCCAGGCCCCATCCCTATTCAATTGAATAAAAAATTGTAGAGCCTGGGTAGAATAGAGCGTGGGTATAGTATTAAGTTCCCCCGGTGAGCCTGCAGCTTAACCGACTAGTTCTAAAGCTGGAGTTGGCATAGGTTTTCTGTAAAAAGTCTGATAGTAAATATTTTTGGCTTTGGTGCCATATGGTCTTGGTTGCAACTACTCAACTGCAGCCTTACACAGAACAAAAATGAATCAGTGTGGCTGTGTGCCACTATCACTGTGTCCACAAAAACAGGTGGTGGGCCTGATTTGGCCCTTGGCTGCAGTGTGCCCATCTCTGTTTTTGAGGAATAAAATCGCATCATTTCATATGGCTAATGCAATTTTTTTTCCCATCTGGAAACAGCATCTGATTGAACTCATCTTGTATGGCCCTTGTTACAGTCTCTGTAAATTGGAGAGGGTCCGAGAATAACCCTGTTTTCATCAGGACTGTTTTTAGGGATGGCAAAGAAGTCAGTGTGTCCGGCCTGCGTCCTCCCCAGCCGCGTGGCTGACTCCTGAATCTGTGTGTGCAGCACACTGTTGTTGTCTGGGGCATGATCTGTGTGATGGGGCTAGCCCTGCCTTCCGTCCTACTTCCTTAGGTCCTCACGTCAAATCAGAGCCTCCTCACGAACACTCAGACCTAACGTGCTAAAGCCAGATGCACTATGGTCCGCTTTTGCTTCTTCGAAACCTCAATGGGAATCGGGAAACATCTCGATATTTCCTTTTGCTTCACAAATGGCACTTCACGTCCCCTCGCTTCGCATCTTTTCTTTGTTTTTGTTCTTCTGCAATCACGACTTCACCCATGTAACTAGGATTCCAGGTAATTCTTGATACCTTTGGTCATCAAAATTTGGACACATAAAGAATTATATTTTCCTTTCCGTATTCTAAGTTAGAATGCTTTAGACTTCTTGAAAAGTTTTGATGAAGACCTCTTCTGAAAAGGTATCCCTTTACCACTACAGCAGGATCTCTTCACCACTCATCTGCTGACTCCTGGTCTAAAGCAGTAGGGTGTTAAAGAGGAATCACAAATTAAGTGCCCTTAAGAGTTGGATTTTGCCATTTCTCCCCTCATCCCCCTCTCCTGCCCCACTTAAAACAGAAATAAACCAGCAAAGAAAAAATCAGACCAAAACTGAGGGAGAAAACATTTCCAATCTGAAGCCACCATCTACTTATCTGAGGACTAGAGTCGAGTCTAGCTGATGTTTAGTAGGGTGGGGCTGGGATACAAATTAAAATCTGGGAATATGTATGTATGTTCAGCCCATCCATTGTTTTTTCTCTGTTTTTTAGATAATGGCCCTTGTTTAGGCTCTCGGAAACCAGACCAACCCTATGAATGGCTTTCATACAAACAGGTGAGTTTGTATGAAACAGGCTCTGTGAACTCCTCTTGCAAGCAGGGATGCTTCCGTATGTGAATTCTTGGAGCCAGAAGGTTGCTCCAAAGTGTATGTGCTGGACCAGCTCAGAGCCTTGCCGTAAGCATGGGGCGTCCAAGGAGAAACTTGACACAAAGGTTTGGGGAGAACAAGTTAAGGAATTTAGCTAGTGGTTCAAAGCACTGTATTTCAAAGCTGATGTGGATACATTGTGAAGTCGAGTATAATTTTTAAGGTAAAATTTTAGAAACTCTCCCAGTTCCCCTGGCGGGATAGGATTATTCCTCTCCACTTGAGGGGTACTAGAAAAACTCAGAAGCCAGAACGTGGAAGCATGTCCTCATTTGACGGAGGAGGAGGACCTGTCTCAGGAAGAGAGGTGACTCACCCCAGGTCATAGCTGGTTAGTGGCAGAACCAGGACCAGAAGCAAGGCCTGCAGACTCTTGTGTGGGCTTTCCTGGTGCGTGCTCCTGACCCTCAAAGCTGTGCTTGGCCGACTCACCACCTGTGTGACACCCCCAGGGCAGCCACAGGGAGGAACACAGATGCTCAGGGAAGACACTTGTGTTACTGCATAAGCACAAAGGAAGCTGGGATCTGAGTGTGGTGACCCTTGTCAGTCTCTAGTCCCCACCCATCAATGGCTACAACTGTTGAAACAGCAGTTCATGAGTGGCAGTAGCAGTGTAGGAGGACGTTGCTGTTTATTTATTTATTTTTTTGTCATGATTACAATGAATGTGGATGCCACGGTTCTTCCCCAGTGCACATGGCACCCTGGGACAGGCAGGTGCCCTGCTGCTTCCACACAGCTGTCCAGGAAAGGCTCCCGCCCCTGGCTCCCCCTCTCCTGCTCTAGGGGCAGGTAACCATGCGGATTCCTGAACACAAATGCACTTGCTGCTTCTGGGTTTTGTGTGAAGGGCAGTTTAGGGGCTGGTGTATTTGGGGTGCGTCTGTGGAAGGGATTGTTCTCTGCAGCTGCAGAGTGTGTTTGCAGAGTGTGTGGATTGTTCTCAGACTGAAGTGCGTGATTTCTTCCCGTCCGTCCTCTGGGGTCGACAGGATGCAGAAGGCTTTGCTTGAGAGGTGTTCGTCTGTCTCTCAAGAGATGGGGAAGCGACTTCTCACACCTCCACTGTAGAAGGAGCTAGGAGCGGTAGCTCACATGACTGGAAGGATTTCCCATTTTTATTCTGTCCTACCAGAAGCCAAGTTTCCTGCGTAAATACTAGTTTCCAGGATCCCTCATTTTCACAAGTGTAAGAACAGCCTGTGTGTGTGGAACATGCGTGTGTTGTGTGTGATGATCCTGAGGCGTCATGGAGTCCTCTGTGTCTCCTGAGTTACTTCTGTTGTTTATTGGCTGGAAGAGAGAAGACACATCCATTGCAGATTGGCATTTTCAAGGCAGATGGAAAATCGCTGGGGTTTCTGAAGGTGTGAATCTATGCCTTGCACGCTTCATTTGGAAGCGGGTGAAGATACAAAACTAAAGCCAACTTTGGATTTGTACGTTCAAATCTTTTTTTTTTTTCTTTTTCAATCATCCAATGAATATGACCTTTTGGTGACTAGGAATGCCTTAAAGGGGTTTGTTTTTTTTTGTTTTTTGTTTTTAAGAATGTATGACCGATCTAGAAATATAAATGTGCGTGTATTATTCAATCATATTTACCAGCTATGTAGCATCCAATTGCAGGTATTTCTCAGGTTCCGATTCCTTAAATGCAACCAAGACTTTTGAACTCATATGTGAAGGAGAGGATAGTAATGAACCTGTTTGTGTCATCCTATTGTCACCTTACCATGATCACTCTGTTCCCCATAGGCAGGGCCAGGATGGTGCCAAGGCCCAGAAAGTAGGGTTCCAGGCCAGGAGTAGGTGTGGCCTTACTTCCTATGGGTATGCGTGTGCTTTAAGAGTGCTCTTGAGAATTTGCCAACTGAGAATAAAGAAAATAACTCCAGGCCAGGCACGGTATGCCTCATGCCTATAATCCCAGCACTTTGGGAGGCCGAGGGGGGCAGATCACCTGAGGTCAGGAGTTCAAGACCAACCTGGCCAACATGGCAAAACCCTGTCTTTACTGAAAAATACGATGTGGTGGCAGGTGCTGTAATCCCAGCTACTCTGGAGGCTGAGGCAGGGAGAATTGCTTGAACCCTTGAGGCGGAAGTTGCAGTGAGCCAAGACCATGCCCCTGCACTCCAGCCTGGGCAACAGAGTGAGACTCCATCTCAAAAAAAAAAAAAAAAGAAAAGAAAAAAGAACTGCAAAGTTTAAGATTTTTTAAAAATTTTAATTTATTTGGGGTAGGAACGGGGAGAGGATAGGATAACCCTGCCGAATTTTGCAAACCTACCAATTTTTACTTAGTTATTATAATATGCATTTTTATATTTACATGTGTTGCTTATCATTATAATATTGTCCTAAGTTGGATATAGTTTTCACAATTATAATATTAACTAACCGTGTAGCATTTTCTTAGTGGTTTACCATCATTTACTTAATCACCAGCCATGATTAGGTTTTTTACCCTAGAGATTTTTGATGCAATAATTTTGAAATATTTGCATATGTTTATATGTAGGCTTTTTTTTTTTTTTTTTTTTTTTGAGATGGAATCTCACTCTGTCACCCAGGCTGGAGTGCAGTGGGATGATCTCAGTGCACTGCAGACTCCACCTCCTGGGTTCAAACAATTCTTCTACCTCAGCCTCCTGAGTAGCTGGGATTACAGGTGCACGCCACATGCCTGGCTAATTTTTGTATTTTCAGTAGAGACGGGGTTTTACCATGTTGGCCAGGCTGGCCTCGAACTCCCTCAAGTGATCTGCCCGCCTCAGCCTCCCAAAGTGCTGGGATTATAGGCGTGAGCCACCATGCCTAGCCTATATGTAGGCTTTTAAAAACCTCCTCCTAAGATTGAATTGTTTCCTAAGAATACATTCTTAAGAACAGAATTGTAGAACTTCAGGATAATAGCTTGCTCTTATTTTTTATAGGTCTCTCACAAGTTGCTGTTTCTGTGTTTATACCAAATAAACAAGTTTTGGCTGCTTTATAAATTAAAAAAAAATCCATCTCTCTACTATTTTTATAATTTTATAAAACTAAAATAGAAAAAAATGTATAAGAAGCCTTGTCATATAATTATCTGTGACCTGCAGCCGTTGGGATAAGATTAATTTGCTTTGCAGAAGGAACCCTGCGGTCAGTTCTCTTAATTCTGATTTCTTGTGAATAAAACCTTGTGTTTTACCAAAAAACCTACCAATAAAGGAATGCCTGCGTGTTCCCTCTCCGCTTCTGCGTGCAGCATTGCGTGCTGGCTGAGATGTACGCCTGTCCTCTGGCCAGCTTTGTTTCTGGAGCTGGGGCACAATCTGTTTCTGACTTTCTCCTCTCCATTTTAGGTTGCAGAAATGTCGGAGTGCCTAGGCTCAGCGCTGATCCAGAAGGGCTTCACGGCCACCCCAGATCAGTTCATTGGCATCTTTGCTCAAAATAGACCTGAGGTATGACCCAGTAGGTACTTGCTGTGCATGATTTGGAGAATTCTCCAATGTAAGAGCCTAACTTCTGCTAGAGACCAGATTTTGTAGTCTGATTGCTACTAAAAGTATAGCTTTGCGTTACACCTTAGAAAGTTACACATACAAAAACCTGAACCAGGGCTGGGCGCAGTGGCTCACACCTGTAATCCCAGCACTTTGGGAGGCCGAGGTGGGTGGGTTACCAGAGGTCAGGAGTTCCGGACTAGCCTGACCAACATGGAGAAACCTCATCTCTACTAAAAATACAAAATTAGCCAGGCCTGGTGGCACACATCTATAATCCCAGCTACTCAGGAGGCTGAGGCGGGAGAATCGCTTGAATCTGGGAGGCAGAGGTTGTGGTGAGCCACCAGTCCGGGCAAGAAGAGCAAAACTCCCATCTCAAAAAAAAAAAGAAAAGAAAAGAAAAGCTGAACCAGGGCCTTTTAATCGCCTTTAAGAGAAAAGAGAAATCACTTTTCTGGGGGAGATTATTTTAGTTTTTTTAAACCAGGTTCCCCAACAAAATCCTTAGAACAGATAACTAACAAAGGAGATTTTTTACTTTAAGAGTCACCTCTGTGGTTAGAAAAATGGCATTAATAAGTTATAGAGAGATTTAGATACATTTTTGTTAATAGCAGGCTTCTTTTTTTTTTTCCTTTCTGAAAGGTATGAGGCTTTCCTTCTGGTTGGTTTCCAGAGTTTAAAATACCATGGGTGATGGGGACAGTACTCAGCGCTAGCCGGCCTTCATTTGCGCAGTCTGTCATTGGCGGTCTAGGCCCAGCACGGTTTCTGTAAACCAGTGTGTAAAAGTGTATTAGTCTGTTTTCACGCTGCTGATAAAGACATACCTGAGACTGGGAAGAAAAAGAGGTTTAATTGGACTTGCAGTTTCACATGGCTGGGGAGGCCTCATAATCACGGCAGGAGGTGAAAGGCACTTCTTACATGGTGGCAGCAAGAGAAAAATGAGGAAGAAACAAAAGCAGAAACCCGTGATAAACCCATCAGATCTCATGAAACTTACTATCACGAAAATAGCTGGGAAAGACCAGCCCCCGTGATTCAATTACTTCCCCCTGGCTCCCTCCCACAACACGTGGGAATTCTGGGAGATACAATTCAAGTTGAGATTTGGGTGGGGACACCGCCAAAACATATCAGAAATTGAGTTTAAATGAGCAGCTCTTTTGGAAGTATAGCTTATGGTGTGACTCAACAGATTAGTAGATCTAGCTGGCCTGGAAAAATGGAAGCATCTGGCTTGAAGAAATCAAATTTATTCTTATACCTGCTTGTGGCCAGAAGACATGTTGACACAATTCCTGTGCTACTGACTTTTTTTTTTTTTTAAATAAATAAAGGTGACTTCTTTAGAGTTTTGTGGTCTTTCAAGGGGAAAACAGCATTCTCCACAGCTGGACTATGGGCTTTGTAGAATTTAGTTTTTTTCATCCCAAATGAACACATCAAAATGTTTGTTTTGATGGAATTTTATCATGAATCTAGAACTGCAGAACGAATCTCTTCAAGAAGTAGGTTCTTTCCTATACTTGTGAGTTCGTTCAACAAATGTTTGCTGAGCACCTACTATATGTCAGACACTGTGTGGGGGTGCCAAAGCACAGTAACTCAGCCCTTCTTCTGAGGTACCACATAAGGAAAGACCTAAACACGGGTGCTTTCTGTGTCATGTGGTACGTGTGGTTGCAGGGCAGAAGGATTATGGGAGCTCAGTCAAGGAAGGCTTCCTGGAGGTGGCACCTGAGTAGAATCTCGAAGGAAATAGGGGTGGGGAGGCCAAGGGAATGGCCACGTTCACACCTGTGTCTGGGAGTGGAGCATTTTCATGTGGCAGAGTGGCAGGAAAGAGAGCCTTCCTTAAGCGTCACGTGTGCCTAAGGAGCTTGGACCTGATCTCTCTGTTGTTGGCTGAAAATTCCTTCTGGGAAAACACCGAAACTCAGAAGCCCATTTCCAGGCCAAGTGGATGTGAGTGGGTTGTGCCCCCTTCCCCCGGCTGTGCCTTTATCTGTCCTGTGTGTCAGAGCTCTGCAGATGATTTCATTAGAAAAGTGCAGCCGGAGGCAGTGGGGTGCCCTTGGGTATGATAGTGAGAGAGTGGTCTTTCACCTTAGTCCAGTAGGGAGGGCGGTGGCTATGTGGCCAGTGCCGTCAGAGACATCTCACTGCGTCTTCCCTGTGGCAGTGTGGCCAGTTATCGTCTCACTTCCTTCCTTCACTTTTCTAGAAGGATGTTCTCAAAACAGTTTTGCTGCTAGACAAGGTACTCCTTCCACTATTCCAGGGCATACAGTGCCCTGCTGCCAGAGGGATCTTCCTTGAGCCCCACAGCCACTGTTTTGTGAGAAACTCTCAGTGGCTGCCCCCTGCTCTCCAGCCAGAACCGTCTGTGCCAGTCACATCGCTCTAACCCCCTGCTTTTGATCCTGCCGTCCCCTCTGTTAGCATCTCCCTGCCTCCATCTCTGTCTTTTTCTCTCTCTCTCTTTTTCTTTCTCTTTCCAAAGGCAATCTCAGTTACACCCTCCCAGTGGCATCTGTAACTACCTTGGCCAATGGTGGACTTTCTTATCTTGAGTCAGTCACTATCTGATATTGCTAATTATCTTTTAACATATTTGCCTCAATTCTTCAGGCAGATTTTAATTTCTCTTTCTTTCTTTCTCTCTTTCTGTCCTTTTCCTTTCCTTTCTTTTTTCTTTTCTTTCTCAATCTCTCATCTTTCTCTGTCTGTCCTCTCTCTCCTTTTTCTTTCTCTCTCTCTCTTTCCTTCCTTCCCTCCTTCCCTCCCTCTCTTTGTGCATACATACATATATACAGGATCTCACTCTGTCACCCAGGCTGGAGTGCATTGGTGTGATCACAACTCACTGCAGCCTCAACCTTCTGGGTTCAAGCAGTCCTCCCGCCTCAGCCTCTCAAGTAGCCGTGACTGCAGGTGTGTGCCACCATGTCCAGATAACTTCTGTAGAGGCAGGGTTTTGCCATGTTGCCCAGGCTGGTCTTGAACTCCTGGCTCAACTGATTCCCCCCATCTGGGCCTCCCAAAGTGCTGGGATTCCTGGTGTGAGCCAGTGTGCCTGGCCTTAATTTCTTTGTAAGAATGGGGCAAGTGTTTTGTTCTCATTCTGAATCCCTCATAGCACCTGGCACAGAGTAGTAGATAACACAAATGTTAATTTTGCTGCGTCAAAGGTTTTTACGTTGAATCTCTCTTGAGTATTGTTCTCCTTATTGATTCCATGATGACGTCTTGTTTTCTCTCCCTGACCTTTACTGTTTGTTTAGTGGGTGATTATTGAACAAGGATGCTTTGCTTATTCGATGGTGATCGTTCCGCTTTATGATACCCTTGGAAACGAAGCCGTAACGTACATAGTCAACAAAGGTACGTCTGTGATCTTTGCCTGGATTATTGGCATAGTTATTGGTTAGGGTCAGTGACTTTACATTTGCTTACATTTGATTTGACAAAGATTTTACATGTAAATGTATATTTACCTTTTTATCCAAAGAATGTAGTACTTCAAGTATCCTTGTGCTGGATATGACAGAGTCAATCTTTCAACATCCCAGAGCTTATTCTTCATTGTATCTTTTCATTTACAGCTGAGCTCTCTCTGGTTTTTGTGGACAAGCCAGAGAAGGCCGAACTCTTACTAGAGGGTGTAGAAAATAAGTTAACACCAAGCCTTAAAATCATAGTTCTCATGGATGCCTACGGCAGTGAACTGGTAGAACGAGGCCAGAAGTGTGGGGTGGAAATCATCAGCCTGAAGGCGATGGAGGTGAGTTCCCAGTTCCCCCACCTCCTTCCCCGAAGGCTTTCCCGGGGGCATGTTGGCTCACACGTGCTATCCAGTGCTATCTGGTGCCATCGTGCAGTCCCAGCGCTGGCCGGTCGCCTCCGCAACCCATGAAAGAGAGCAGAAATTTCTGTCTCATTGCTGGAGACAGGATTCTACATGTGTGCCCAGTGTTAACACATCACACCTTACCCAAGTGCTTTCACCACTCAAATATTTATTCCAGAGCACTGACAAGCTGTGCCCGGAAATGCCAGAAATGGGAATTACAGCTTCAGGCAGGTAGAACTTTCAGTTTCTGTGTCTTCTTTGGCTTTAATGCCTTTTACTTACTAATTTGTCTTTAATGCCAAGCCAAATATAGAAATCAGCCTCATCGTTCTTTTCCCTGGGTGGCTCGTGGAGAGTCCTGGTGAGTTTCCAACATACATGTTTGATTTGGTTTATTTTCGTATTGACTCTTTTAAGAGTCATACCCATCACAACTTTAAAGGCAGCCAATCCAGGAGAATGAGTGTGGTCCATGCTCAGCGTGGGTGCTTGATGTCAGATGATACAAGAAGTTGATCCCCGTCAGCCAGACTTGGATTACAGTTCCATCCAAGGAGCATGACCAGAGGAGGATCTTCTTATATACATGTCATAGCAAGTCATAGGAAAATAGAGTCAGTCATTCTCTTTCTGAAGGAGTTAGAAATATTTTTCTGAAACTGTTATAAAGAGGATTTTAAATTTTTATGTGTAATTTTCCTCCTTCTACAAAGAATTTGAGACTATAAGTAAGGATCCATAAAACCTTTCCTGAGGAACCTAGTAGGCACAGGGAAGCACGTGTGTTCTAATAGAACCTTCTCTCTGGTGCATGTGTGCGCCCCTGCCCAACTCGCTCTCTCAGTAGCATGGAACTGATTCTGTAAGTGCTGAGCCGCGTGCTTCCTTGTTGAATTGGGGTTTTAGTTAGCTTGTTACCTGGTTTTTCCCCACTTCCCTTTTTTCACTTTTAACCCCCTCTCACTATAATGTAATCTCTTTTTCCCTTACCTTCCCTTTTTCCCTTTTTCTCCCCTCCCTCCCCATAGATGCAGGAATTTTTCTGGTGTTTTTTGACTGCTGTATGATAAAGAAGTAATGTTGAAATTTAAAAATTATTTAGATGATTGAAGATAATATAAAGTTTATATTAAAATATTATAGAAGACATTGTTTTACACTTACCTGCTTAATATGATTTATACTTAGTTTTTAAAAATATTCTGAGCGAAAGGTGAAGGTCTAAAAAGAAGAATTTAAAACTAGCATTATGGTTGATCTTGTGTTGAATTTATATTAATGTATATTTTTACAGGATCAAAAATAGAATTATTGTATTTGGAATGTTTACATTTTTCAGTATTTTAATTATGAAAATTTTAAACATCCAGTTGAAAGAATTGCATAGTAGACAGCTGTATACCCACCACCAATTGACATTTTAGTGTATTTGCTTTATCACTTATCAGTTCATCACTTTATGCCTCCATTCATCCATCCATCTTATTTTTTTTGATGCATTTTTAGTAAGTTGCAGATTTTATTACCTCTAAATACTTCAGTGTGTTTATCATTAACTAGAATTCAGTTTTTGTTTATGGGTGGTTTTTTTTTTCTTGGAACATAAAAACGGCAACTTTTTTTTTTTTTTTTTTTTTTTTAATAATTGTAGTATTTGGCCAGGCGCAGTGGCTTACTCCTGTAATTCCAGCACTTTGGGAGGCTGAGGTGGGCGGATCATGAGGTCAGGTTGAGACCAGCCTGGCCAGCATGGTGAAACACCGTCGTACTAGAAATACAAAAAATTAGCCTGGCATGGTGGCGCACACCTGTAATCCCAGCTATTTGGGAGGCTGAGGCAGGAGAATCGCTTGAACCCAGAAGGTGGAGGTTGTAGTGAGCCAAGATTGTGCCACTGCACAGCAGCCTGGGCGACAGAGCGAGACTCTGTCTCAAAAAAAAAAATAATAATAATAATTGCAGGATTTTTCCTAAGTGATACCGTAAGAGAGATGTAAGGCTGTGAAACTTCGTGGCAACAGTGCACTAATTTGGATAATGTTTGTTCCCAATAAATTAAGAGCCAAATTGTATGTAACTGGTGCTTTATTTTATTTAACATCAATTTTTGAAAACTTGGGCATCTCCCAAAGTTATGTAGGAATTTTTAATAGACAAGTAGAAATCTGGAGCTAATGACGGTTATTTTGAAAAAAATGTACAGAATTATTGCTTTAGCTTTTGGCTGACCTCTAATTGGATATATTAGTTCCTGTTCTTAATCGGTGGTCTGCCACTTACATCATTTAAAATGTAATTAAGATTGAAAACTTAATAAATGCTGGGCAGAAACTCAACGAGCCCTGAGCACATCCATCTAATTTCCATGTGAATCGAACATGTTCAATGGCATGTTCATTCCATATCCTCATTCATGCTGTTCCATTTTAATAGGAAAAGAATATAAATCGTTCATTTGTTAAAATTAATAGATATTAAAGTGGCCACCAAGACTGCACTCATGCAGTCAACCGAACCCCATCAGTGGTAGTGACTGGAAGCCTGCCGCTGGGAAATGCTGTGCCCGCGCAATGCGTCATTCTTAACCTGTAAGTCCATTCAGGAAATAGTCTTCGAGGTTCTGCTGTGGCCTGTTTTATCATTGGAGGCTCCCAAATCCTATCTCCACTCTACGTGGGGAGATATTTGAGCAGATATTTGAGCCTCTTGAAAATGGCTAGCATTTCAACCGAGCAGAGATTGATTTTTCTTCTCAGATTGCAGATGTTGTGCAGAATGCGGGGGTGAGGTCGTACTGTGCTCTGATTTGAGGAGCCTGCAGAGTATCTACAGTATCTAGTTATGGTTAAGAACAGGACTTTATTAAAGGCCCTGATAAGGAGTGGAAGTGGGGACCAGAAATGCATTGTAAAGACTTTGACTGCTGTATTTTAATACATCCTATTTCAAAGGCCAGTCCTAATATCATTTATGTAGTTTTATGTAAGAGAAGAGATAACTGGAAAATGGCTTCTCAGAACAATGAATAAATATTTTGGTTCTGGTTAATTAAAACTGCCATAGTTTCTTTAATTAGAAAATTATGCTGTTTTTGAGCCAGCTGTGAATGAAGTCCACAGTTAAGCCAGCTTTAAGTGCCTTGATATGACCTTATCCTTTACAGTTAGAAAACATTTCCATTTAAAATGACTTTTTTTCTCTTCTAATTAAGGACCTGGGAAGAGCCAACAGACGGAAGCCCAAGGTGAGCACACTGTGTCAGACCCTGCTCTGTCCTCTTTGTAGTCTTCAGTATCTAGCCTGGTGCTTTGTGGTTTATCGTTCTCTTTTCTGTTCTGATTTATACCAACTTTTTTTTTTTTCATCTTCTCTAGCCTCCAGCGCCTGAAGATCTTGCAGTAGTTTGTTTCACAAGTGGAACTACAGGTGAGCTTTGAGATAGAATTGCTTCTGCATGTGGCCGCCAGTGGTCTGTACTCTCCCCCACCTCTTCTGGATGACTTATCAGCTAACAGTAGATGGACCCAAAGCAGAAGAGAAGGAAGCGGTTCCAGTGCTGTCTTCTTGTGCTATGTGCTATCTTCTTGTTGCTCTGTAAGATCTTCTCAGAGTCCAAGAGTGCCGGATAATTCCTCAAACATTTATTGAGGGTGATATTAGATTCACCTGTCTTCCTAGGACAGACTAGATCGGTGGCTCCCAGGGAGACAATTTCTGGTTTTTCTTCTCCTGTGACTACGTATACCCTTTAAAATTTGCCCATATTAATAAAGGTTTTTAAAGATAAGTCAGTGAAAGGATTGCAGGTTGCTCAGGAATTTAGTGTTCAACATTTGGCTTTCACGATGTATCTTAACAGTAGAGGTGTCCGAGGCCCTAATGCGGGGTTTCTGGGCCTCCTTCATTTCTGTCATTCTTTAACTTTGTTCTGCTTCATATGTGCTCCACAGGCAACCCCAAAGGAGCACTGATCACTCATCGAAACATAGTGAGCGATTGTTCAGCTTTTGTGAAAGCAACAGAGGTAACTTTTTGGGATGTTGTCATCTTTCCTCACTGGTTGACATTAGTCCTTGAGAATGAAAGTGCTGAAGGTGGCACCACTGTGTTAGGCCTGTGTGGTATTTAGAAACGAGGTGACATACGGATAAGGTCAGAACTTTAGGCCCAAGTCCACCTTCTCTCTTTTTTCACTTTGGACCTAATCACCAACCCTTCTCTGTGATAATTAAGGTGAATTGACAGATGAAGTTCACTGCAACATTAATATAGTGAGACTCTATTTGGAGATTGCCCTAGAAATATGTCCAAGAAAGGACAGAGAAGAGATGGACTGTCTTGTGTTTTTATCCAGTGTCCCTGCATTTGGGAAATAATTTATTTTAAATTGACAATGATATGCTAAAAGTTTTTGAATTATTATTATCTGTTTTGGTCAGTGTGACTTCCATTGCACTAGAAGTATTAAAGACTTGCACTTCAACTAATTTCCCCTACTTTTAAAGTTTACTACCCAGTGTCTTAGTCTATTCAGGTTGCCATAACAAAAAAAAAAGAAAAAAACCCACAGACTGGGTGGCTTATACAACAGACATTTATTTTCTCACGATTCCGGAGGCTAGAAGTCCAAGATCAGCTGCTGGCAAATTTGGCTTCTGGTGAGGGCTGACTTCCTGGCTTGCAGACAGTCTCCTTCTCCTGTATCCTCACATGGCCTTTCTTCCATACATGTGTGAAGAGAGAGCGCTCTGGTGTCTCTTCCGCTTCTCATAAGGACACTAGCCCTATCAGATCAGAGCCTACCTCCAAATACAGTCACAGCAGCGCCCTATCTACATTGGGAGTTAGGACGTCAACATACGAATTTAGAAGGAGGTGATGTGATTCAGTCCATAACACCAAGAGCCTATTCCAAACTTGCCCTTTATAAAGGTGCTTATTGAACAATATAATGCCTTTTCCTCATACTCTTTTTTACAGTTAACATAATTGGCTTCTGCAGTCTCTTTGGGAGTATTCTGTAGCTCTGATTTTTGTAGCAGGAGCCTGAGCTTAATGGCTTTGGGGAATGGACATGTTTGGTGGCTGCAGAAAACTGATCTTTGAAGGATTTTGCACTTATTTTACTTGGCTTACCCTTTCCAAATACCCTTTATAAAGGTGTATACTTTCTAAACAGAGTTCAACATTTAGTACCTTACCAAAGTGAAATTTTAATGTTGTAATTGGCCTTCGAAGAAAACTTAAAATGCATTGGTGGTTCATTGAGGCAAATGATTACAGAACTTTCTTTAAAGTCAATTATAATATCAAATTGATTACAATATCAGTTACAATATCTGTCTTCTTAGCTTTGTAAAATGTCTAATCATGATAATGGACAATATTTTTGTTCTAAATCAGAATGTTGAAAAGTATAGGTAGAATGGAGTCTGATTTTTCATTATACTAATAGAACAATTTCATCCTGAGAAGTACGACTTGGGATGCCTGTCAGACTTGAATACAATCAAGCTGAGATTACAGCATGCTCAGCCCACATCCGGTGCTTCTGAGGCTGCTGTGTTTGCTCAGGATTGATGCTTTCATCCATTGTCACGTTATTATTAAGGGTGACCCAGCTTTAGGAAAGGAAAGGGCATGGCTCAGAACTTGGTACATCATCCCCTAGGTAACGACAATGCCCTCATTTCTTAGTTGGTGTGACAGCAGCTGCTGTTGGACACCCCCTGTTTTAGCCAGAATTCTTTATGTTAAAAACATGAATATTCTATACAAACCCTCACTGTGCCTGCCCTAAGTAAGGCCCACTCTGAGGGAAACCAGATGTCCAAACGTAATCTGTCTGTTTAATCATCATCATCAGTATTTTATAGGAGAGCAAATTCCTGGGTGCCGGATCTGAGGTTGCATTAAACAAATTATGTAAAGTAGGGCTTTATGTATTTATGTATTGATCAAACTCAAAATACTCTAAGGACCTTGGAAATCTATCTTCTTTTATCTTCTTTCCTCCTTTTCCTTAGCAACATAAAATGCAATTTTATGTTGAAATGGGACCTGTATTTCTTAAGGTAGAATTGAACTTGCTGGGTACTGGGATACTGTAGTGATGAAATACTGATTAGAGCACATAATCCCTTAACCTTCCAATTTGGGCAAAATTTTCCTTGTTTTGATTAAAGCCCTGAAGTGAATTTACTTTGTCATTGGGAGTGACTTCCACTTTATTTGAATAATGAAAGTATTGCTTTTTTTTTTTTTGAGTCAGAGTCTCACTCTGTTACCCAGACTGGAGTGCAGTGGTACAATCTGGACTCACTGCAACCTCCACCTCCCTGGTTCAAGCAATTCACCTGCCTCAGCCTCCTGAGTAACTAGAATTACAGACATGTGGCATTATGTTTGGCCAATTTTTGTATTTTTAGTAGGATGGGGTTTTACCATGTTGGCCAGGCTGGTCTTGAACCCCTGACCTCAAGTGATCTGCCCGCCTCGGCCTCCCAAAGTGCTGGGATTACAGGCGTGAGCCACCATGCCCCTTGCTTTTCATTTTATTCTTTGGTGAGAAAAAATTGCAGACCATAAGCAAAAGCTGTTTCTCCTCAGTGTTGAGGTACTATGTGCTCAGAAATAAAATGGAAAGTTACTGGGAGTCTTAATGCTTTTCTGCCTTGCTGGTGTCTTTGCTTACAGAATTCAGTCAATCCTTGCCCAGATGATACTTTGATATCTTTCTTGCCTCTCGCCCATATGTTTGAGAGAGTTGTAGAGGTAGGCATTTAGTTTTGTTTTCCTTGCTTGCTTGTGTATATTCTGCTAAGTTGTTGTGTTTTACAGAAAGTACTTCCCTTGAATGCCAGTGACACACACATTTCATTTTTACCACTTGCACACATGTATGAACAGCTCATGAAGGTAAGTGTGACGTGCAAACTGTCATCCCTATAAAGAATTCTTTGCTCAGCCCCGTTTTAGAAATGGTACAGATTATTTGAAAGAATATAAATTCTTTTTCTGAGTATGAACAGGATACTTGAATTTAATCACTCATTTTAAAATTAGGAGCTCAGGCTTTTGAAGGATACTAATATGGACATCAGTCCAGAAAGATCAACTGTAAAAGAAAAGTCATTATTAATTTAGTTCTACAGAGCCCGGTGAGGCTTCTGTTCTGTAAGAAGTCGCTAGTTTTGATTGTGCTTGTTCATAATGGGCAAGTTGGCTTGAGACTAATTTTTTCAGCAATATTCTAAGTGCCCGTGGAAAAAGAGAATGATCCTCCAGTTGACCTTTGCTTAGGCTCCCTGTAACCAACTGTGTGACTAATTTTAAAACTGACCAAGAACCACCTTTGTGCTTTCTTTGACAATTTTGGATTTTATACTGTAGGAAAAAACAATGAGCACCATTCATTCATTTAGTGAGTAGTTACTGAGCTCTAGCTGTGTGCCCGCTGCTGTGTTGGAGACAGAGGTGACTAACAGCCAATGCTTTGGATGGCAGCTGCCCTGTCGGATTTGCTCACCCCAGAGGATCGAAGGCGATTACATCCCATCTGCCATCTGTTCCTTCTACGTCCTGCACACCTCAGGATCTTCTGGGTTTATGAAGCAATCTCAAAGGAGTTGCTGTACCTAACAAGTTTTAGAGGGGTGCCTAGAAGGCAGGCCACACTGAACAAAAGCTTTCTGAGCTGTAATTGTTAAACAGTGAACCATGGTGTACCTTTCTTGTGGTTTCTGCTTTTAAGCCAGAGAACGTTTGTACTTCCCTTGTGTCATCTTTTGAATCTTTTCTTTTTAAAATTTAAAATAGGCAAACTGTCAGGTCCATATGGCTTGCCAGTACGGTTTGTACTAGACAGGAGAAAGATTGTGCAGTGTGTTCTAGCTGAATCGCAAGCCACTTTGGTATTAGATACCCTGGTGTCACAAATTCATCATACTTGGTGGCCTTTCAGAAACTTTTAGTTAGATTCAAACAAAAGAAAGTGAGACTTTCACAAACTCGAACTCTAGGCAAGAAGTTAAGTTTTTATTCTGAGAATAAATTAAACGTAAAGTTTCTGGAAAACTATATAAATATATTTGAGACAGAGTCTCCCTCTGTGGCCCAGGCTGGAGAGCAGTGGCATGATCTTGGCCCACTGCAACCTCCGCCTCCTGGGTTCAAGTGATTCTCCAGCATCAGCCTCCCGAGTGACTGGGACTACAGGCACCCGCCACCACGCCCAGCTAATTTTTATTCTGTGGGGACGTGGGGTTTCACTCTAATATGGCCAGACTCATCTGGAACTCCTGAACTCAAGTGATCCGCCCGCCTTGGCCTTCCAAAGTGCTGGGATTACAGGTGTGAGCCACCGCACCCAGCCACTAAAAATATTTAGAATATGTAATACCATGTCATTCATTCAACAGACTACCACTTACCACCACACTAAAAAAGTAGAATCTCTGTGGTCATCACTAAAAACAACACAGCCTGGTATTTTACTAAGTCCTGTATCTTCAGGATAACCAAGAGAAATACCACATTTCCATGTTGTACAATGACTAGTAAATGCACATTTTTTTAAGTTACCTATATTTAGGAAATTTAAGATTTCTGGAAACTGGCCTGAACTGCTAAAACTGAAGTGTTGGATGTTGTCCATGTTGTGTACTCCCTGCTGTGATGATAAAATGTTTGTTGTTTCCATTGCCCCTGTAGTGTGTAATGCTGTGTCATGGAGCTAAAATCGGATTTTTCCAAGGAGATATCAGGCTGCTCATGGATGACCTCAAGGTGCTTCAACCCACTGTCTTCCCTGTGGTTCCAAGACTGCTGAACCGAATGTTTGACCGCGTAAGTTCCAAGCAGCAAAGTCCCAGAACTGAGCACTGACTTGGACGCAGGGGCTTGGGTTTGAATTGGGCTGTGCCATGTGCCATGTGCATGACCCTGGACAATCCTCTCAGTCTTGTAGAACTTCAGTTTACTCATCTGTAAAGTTAGGATGCATTACCTCCCAGAGTTGTTGATAAGGATTATAAGAGAAAACACTTGAACACACTTTGTAAACCGTGGTCACAATACAAGTGTAAGGTGGGAGGCTATTTTACTTTTACAATAAACACTTGAGCCTCTGCTTCCTCGTGTTTAACATGGACTGTTACCTCTTCTCTCCTACTGTTTGTCTCCAAAAGTTGCTAATGGGGTCACATGAGGATAGTAACTATGAAATGGTTTTCTTCATTGTAAAGCTCCTTGCATGGACATGTAAAACATTACTTAATTGGCCACACTGAAGGAAGTGACTAAGCCACAGCAGAGCCCAAGAGAACACCAGCCCCTCTGTGGTGGGTATCATCGCGTGGACCACACAGCCAGGGTCAGGCGTGTGGGGCACGAGCAGGCAGTCTCCAGAATGAGTTTTCACTTAGAGGCAGGACTTCTGTCATGTCTCAGAACCTTCTTATGTTTTTAATGGTTCTTTTTAAAAGAACAACTTTATCAACATATAATACTCTGTATAATTTGCTGATTTAAAGTGCATAATTCAAAGGTTTTGAGTACTTTCACGGAGTTCTGCAGCCATCACTACAATCAATTTTAGAACATTTTCACCACCACCTTCATCATCACCACTTACCTATTCTTTAGCTGTCATCTCCCAGACCCCCTCCACCCTTAAGCATCCACTCATCTGTGTTCTCAATCTGTGTATTTCTGTATTCTGAACTTTTCTATGGATGGAATCATGCTGTATATGCTCCTTTGTGACTGGCTTCTTTCACGAGCATCCATGTAGCACATATTTGCTTCATTCCTTTTAATGGCCAAATAATATTCCACTGTATGGATAGAACGCATTTTATTTATCCATTCCTTTTTTTTTTTTTTTTGAGACAGGATCTCTCTCTGTCATCCAGGCTAGAGTGCAGTGGTGGTATCATGGCTCACTGCAACCTCCACCTCCAGGGCTCAAGCAGTCCTCCCACCTTAGCCTCCTGAGTAGCTGGGACCACAGGCACATGCCACCATGCCCGGCTAATTTTTGTATTTTTTGTAGAGATGGGGTCTTACCATGTTGGCCACATTGGACTCAAACTCCTGAGCTCAGGAGATCCACCCACCTCAGCCTCCCAAAGTGCTGGGAATATAAGCATAGGCCACCGCACCTGGCCTACACATTCCTGTTTGATGGGCATGTGGGGATGTATGTGTCCGTTACTCCTGGGTGTATACCGAGGTGTGGAATTGCTGGTCCTGTGCTGACCACACGGGACTGTTAGAGGACTGGCCAGGCTATCAGAGCGGCTGTGCCATTTTGTGTTCCCCAGCCGTGTATGAGGGTTCCGATTTCTCCACACTTTTTGACTCTGGCCTTTCTAGTAGGCGTGAAAACCTTCTCATGTCTTGCCTCATTAGATTTTCGGACAAGCAAACACCACACTGAAGCGATGGCTCTTGGACTTTGCCTCCAAGAGGAAAGAAGCAGAGCTTCGCAGCGGCATCATCAGAAACAACAGCCTGTGGGACCGGCTGATCTTCCACAAAGTGCAGGTAACACATGACTCACAGCCGCTGCTCCCATGGAAACCAGCTCCGGTTTTCAGAGTTCTGGGAGGGCTTTTTTGGTGAGAGGGAGAGATGAAGGTAAGGGAGAGAATGACATGTTTTTGTTTAATTCTGGCACACGTTTAAAAACTAAGGCAGAGCCATTAAGGAGGCCTCAGTTTCTAAGATAAACAGTATTGCAACCATCTGGGGGAAAAGGATTCAGGGTAGTGTGGCCTTTTCTCTCATTCTCCATTTTGTTTCGTTTTTCCAGAACAAGTATGTCACTCTTGAGGTAATTTTTCAAGCATGAGTGATAATGTGTAATAATACTGTGCCCCCCAGAAGGCCAGAGTTGTGGTAGTTGCCACAGATCCCCCCAGTCGTGTTCTAGTTTCCTGAAATAGCTTCTGCAGAGGTGGGGCTGACTTCCGTCCCCTTTGGGAGGGAACAGGGCAGTCGCGGGTGGAAACAAACTGGAGCCCTGTGTTGCCATCGTGCGCGCTGAGTTCTCCATGTGGCCTTCAGCTGTGGGTTAGGGAACGGGGTCCCAAGCGGGCCTCCTTGGCGGAGAGGCCGCCGGCTTGCAGGTGTGTAACCCTCGCCTTCTCCCACTCTCCCTCCCTGAAAGTCGAGCCTGGGCGGAAAAGTCCGGCTGATGGTGACGGGAGCCGCACCGGTGTCTGCCACTGTGCTGACGTTCCTCAGAGCAGCCCTGGGCTGTCAGGTGAGGTGGATGTCAGGGCGCCTGATTCTCCCACACTGGGACGCCCAGTCCTCTTCTGCGCCAAAAGTCGTCTGTACTCTGTGTGTGTGTGTGTGTGCGCGCGTCTGTCTTTTTTCATTGGCAAGCGTATCTGTATTTGTGGCATACAACATGATGTTTTGATGTATGTAAACATTGTGGAATGGCTAAATCAAGCTCATTAACATGTGTCTTACCACCCATGCTTTTTTCTTCCCCCATGGTGAGAACACTTGGAATCTATTCTCTGGGCAGTTTTCAAGGATATGATACATTGTTGTTAGCTGTAGTCACCTCTCGGTGCTATGGAGCTCTTGAACCCGCTCCTCCTGATTTAGACTTTGTGTCCGTTCACCAACATCACCCCAGTCCTTCCCCACCCCTGCTTTGTGTGTGTGTGTTACTTTTGTTTGGAAGATATGTTATTACTAGGTTGCTTGGAGAAGCAACCACATGTCTATTTTTTACCCTAGGCAGGGGAACGTGTGTGTCTGCCATTTGTTGAATTTTCTCCAGGATCAGGCACCAGATTGTCTAACCTTTAGAAGCAGGCATGCGGGTGTGGAATGGGTCACAGGTGATGAGCCTACCCGCACACCATGCTGACAACCTGTAGTAAAGGGGGAAAGGAGGATTTGGTGGCAGACGGGACATATGTGGGGTACACGTCCTGTGAACTGGCCAAGGGAGTTCACTGCCGCTGGGTGGTGACCAGTCACATAGGGGTTCTCCCTTGCTTGGCAACAGGAAGTTAAGTAGAGGGTGCACCTGGGTGATGGCTGGTGTTGGCGTACAGCACACTGGACCATTGAATGAATTTACTGAACAGACCATTTGAAATGAAATTTCACTAGTCAGCCATGACTTGGGAGTTAGTGATACTTCATTGCTTGTGCACTTCCAGCAAAGGTGTGATTGTGCTCTCCTTAATAATGTCCCGTCTCTTGGTGCCCCAGTTTTATGAAGGCTACGGACAGACCGAGTGCACTGCCGGGTGCTGCCTGAGCATGCCTGGAGACTGGACCGCAGGTATGACTGTGGGAGGCTTCTTTTTGGAGTATTGTTCATACTGGGTTATTGGTATGTCTGAAATTGGGTTAATCACTGATTGGTTCATTAACCATCTTAAACAAAAGTGCTGTTTGCTTGTAAATCAGGGCACTGTGGGGAAAACGCCTCCTGCAACTGAGGGGTGGCATTGGGGATCTGACTGTAAAGCTGGTGGCAGCAGGGACTTGCCTAGACCCCACTAGCGACATCTGAGAGGGGGCCCTGTGTTCCAGATTGAGAATGTCTGGCCCCACAGAGCTTCCTAGTAATTGAGTAGGGTCTCGTTATTTGGTCATTTTAAACAACAAATAGTTATTAAATTTGTACTGTGTGCTGTGCTAGGTGTTAGGACTACCAATAGGAATAAATACAAGTCCTTTTTCTCAAAGAGTCTTTTCTCAAAAGGAAAAAGGAGGAGGACAAACAAAAATCATTGAGCACCTGTCATGGGTGAGCCTCTATGATGGGTGCTTAGGATGCACCTGATGTCCGTGTAACCCCAACAGCGTCCCTGTGAGATAAGTTCTGGTACTTCTCAGAGGAAATGATAGATTGTTGCTTAAGTAACACATAAATAATATCTGAGAATTTACACAGCATTATGCTTTGGAGCCAGGATTTCAACCCCGGCCTGACTACAGAACTTCTGTGCTTCCTCTGTGTCACCTGAGTAGTAAATTCTATACTGTGATAAATAAACTTCCCCGGCTTATTTGGAATATTATAAGTATTAGCACCATTTAGTAACATAGATTCTAGAACCTAGCACTGTCTAGTAACATAATTCTACTGGAATTGACACAGACAGTCTGTGAATCTTCTTTATGGTATTTGTTTAATTTTTAACCTCAGTTTCCTGAACAGAGAATTTGGGATACTGATCTCTAGAAGCTCAAATTATAAAAACATAGGAAGAATTATTTGTGATATCCAATGTGATACCTAATATCTAACATATCTAATGTCTGATGTTGCTGCTTTTGGAAAAGACAACCCAGTCTGAACAGCCTTTCACAAGAGAGTTAAGTTAGCTGTAGAAATAAGCACTGTCCCATCTTAGTAAAAACTGTAAGACATGCTTCTTCATACGCAAGGAAATAAAGGCCGTGTTGATGAGAACCAGGTGGTGTGTCAGGTTTGTCAAAGCTGCATATGTTCTCTCTTCTTACAGAGAACAGAGATGCTAAGAAGTCTGTGTAAGGGGAGGCCAAGGCGGGCGGATCACGAGGTCAGGAGATCCAGACCACCGTGAAACCCCGTCTCTACTAAAAAATACAAAAAATTAGCCGGGCGTGGTGGCGGCGCCTGTAATCCCAGCTACTCGGGAGGCTGAGGCAGGAGAATGGCGGGAACCCGGGAGGCGGAGCTTGCAGTGAGCCGAGATCGCGCCACTGCACTCCAGCCTGGGCGACAGAGCGAGACTCCGTCTCAAAAAAAAAAAAGTCTGTGTAAGATGAGTGCAAGTGATGGGTGGGGGCGATCGGAGGGTGGAAGCCGGGTGAAGGTTTGAGAGAGCCTGCTTCCAGGTGTTTGTAGGAACCCTCACACAGAGGCCAAAGTACTCATAAATAACAAAGCATCACACTTGGAAAAGGTCCTGAAGAGACTAAATGTGTTCTGCCCTACTCTAAGAATAGATTCTCTTCAATTATACTAGGAAGAGAATGGCTATAATTGCAGAAATCAGAAGTTTATCCCAGCTGTTTTTCTTTTGTGGAATCCTGTTCGCTCTCAAAATAATGTGACCTGAGGTTATAATTAGTTCCCTTAGGAATGACCTTTGCTTACTTAACATACAGGCCATGTTGGGGCCCCGATGCCGTGCAATTTGATAAAACTTGTTGATGTGGAAGAAATGAATTACATGGCTGCTGAGGGCGAGGGCGAGGTGAGTGAAAACTGTCAGTCATTTCCCCTCACTGCCGTTTCCTGTGATCGCTGGCCTTTGCAAATGCAGTGGTATTTCCCAGCAGCTCAATAAAGCCATTGAGCTTGACTTCATTGGTGATCCTGGAGTCTGCCAGGCTTCTTTCCGAGGGTACATTTATGTTCAGCTCTCGGGGACTCGGCGGGAGGGACAAGACGCCTGCCTTCCTCTGCCAGGCCTCATAGGGATTTGGGCTCCAGAGCCTGCAAAGAAAGGCGCGGTGGCCTCAGTTCCTGGGACGAAGCTCCTGCCTGTGGATTGCCCTGGGTTCCTATTAGTGAGCTGCTGGCTGCTGGATGGGAAGCCTAATTACTTAAAAGGGATTTCATCCCCTGCAGGGTTTTCCAACAGCTTTGAGCCAGAACCCAGGGCAAGCATTCACCCTCCAAATTGACCAGAGCTGAGGTGATTCAGGAAGGGAAGTAGAGGCCCTGGAGATCCCTCGCAGATCCCAGTGGGGCTCTGGTAACTCCCTCTGTATCCTGGAGTTTAGGGCTTCCAGCTAAAGGTTGGGGCAGACACACACGTACACACATGCACACACCAGTTTTCTCTGGAGAAGCCCCAGTAACTGCTGTTCACTGATGATCTTCTTTTCTTTAGGTGTGTGTGAAGGGGCCAAATGTATTTCAGGGCTACCTGAAGGACCCAGCGAAAACAGCAGAAGCTTTGGACAAAGACGGCTGGTTACACACAGGGGACATTGGAAAATGGTTACCAGTAAGTTGCCACCTCCTCTGGTCACAAACAGTTCTCTTCCACTGTAGGGAAGAAAATATCTGGTCTGCTGTACAGCTGCCACGTGGCAGTGGCACCCTGAATTTTCTCTTTCCCTTCCTCCTTGGTGAGTGGTATGATGTAGACTGTTCCATTTCCTGCAGGGGACAGGTTTACACTTAGCATCCTTGGTTGGATTTTCACTTTAACTTTAGCAAATGTGTTTTGTTTTGTTGGTTTTTTTGTCTGTTTGTTGTGTGTGTGTGTGGTTTTTGTTTTTTTTGTTTTGTTTTGTTTTTTTGAGACAGAGTCTTGTTCTTGTCGCCCAGGCTGGAGTGCAGTGGCACGATCTCGGCTCACTGCAACCTCCACCTCCTGGGTTCAAGTGATTCTCCTGCCTCAGCCTCCGAGTAGCTGCGATTACAGGTGCCCGCCACCACACCCGGCTAATTTTTATATTTTTAGTAGAGACGAGGTTTTACCATGTTGGCCAGGCTGGTCTCGAACTCCTGACCTCAGGTGATCTGCCCCCCTCGGCCTCCCAAAGTGCTGAGATTATTGGCGGGAGCCACCACTCCCGGCCTGTTTTGATGCTTAACATCAATTCTGGTTGTTGCTTCTCAACTGGAACACAAAGAGACAGTGGCTTTTTACAGTGTCCGTACTGAGCTGTGATGTTGAGGCTCAGTTAAATAGATATGGGGGAATTTGTGGTAGACTTCCAGCAATGTAGGATGGGCAAGAATTTGGGAATGAATGTGTTTCTTGGGTTTGTCATCTCATTAAAAATAAGGTGTTTTACAGATTAGACGAACTCCTTGAATTTAGTTGGATTTAGTCTCAGAATCATTTACTGTGGAGAAATTCTGAAGAGTCTATCTTAAGAGTGAGAAGCTTGTGCAAGAAGCCTGACTTGTCCCACCTGTTGGTTTGACCAGTAACCTATTGTTTCAAAGTTATTACTATGCTGATTGCAAGCACTAAAATTACAAATACAATTTTTATTATTGTGTATTGGCAGATTCTTGTAGATTTTAGGTGCTTACTTCTCTCGAATTTGTATTGATTAGAAAAATACCTCCCAAAATGGCTTCAGATTTTGCAATAGCCAAACTATTTAGAGATAAATTAAGTCCCCCTCTTCCAGTTCAAGAGAGATTAAATGTCAGTTCTAATTCTACTGTGGCACTCACAAACACATCCCATAGTCTCTCTGGACCTTGGTTTGCTCCTTTTGAAAATGGAGAACTGGTGTGGAACAAAAGAATGCTAGACACTGTCTACAGATCAATTTCGGAGGCGTGAGAGTGGCCCCGGTGTGGGGATGGGGTGAAAGTGAGACTAGTGTTTTGCTTACGGCACTACTGGGATGTGACTGTCTGGTCCAGAGATGCTAGCGCACTTCCACAGTTGACTCACTCTTCCCAGAGGGCCAAGAGCACCCCTCCAGACATTGAGGAAGAAAACAGGAATTTGGCCTTTGTGTAGGAAACATTTCTTGAACTCTTACTCTGTGCAGAGCGCTTTGGAAGGAAAAGTTGTGCTCCTGCTGTTAAGGAACTTGAGTCACTTGGTGAGCCAGGTGTTACACACCTAATTCAGGCAGGGGGCATAGTGAGCGAGCACAGCCTTGCTAGTGTTGACCAGTCAGTGGTGCCAAGTGGTGACGCTGAATGAGCACGGGCTCTAGGACCCCTTCTCCATCTCTGCACTTGGCCGAATAGCCTTGGACAAGTTCCTCAGTCTCGCTCATTCTTAGTTTTCCTCTCTGTAAAATGGGATCATAGCTGACCTCTGTGGGATGTTATTAGAATGAATCAATAGTGTGTATTAAATACCTTTCACTGTTATATTGGGATCCATCCTGGTTGGAAACTAGCCATCAGCCCATTCATAACCCCCTCCCTTCTGATCAACAGAATGGCACCTTGAAGATTATCGACAGGAAAAAGCACATATTTAAGCTGGCACAAGGAGAATACATAGCACCTGAAAAGATTGAAAATATCTACATACGAAGTGAGGCTATTGCTCAGGTGTTTGTCCACGGAGAAAGCTTGCAGGTATGTGCTTTCTGGGTGATCAGTTTTGCTGCATAGACGTTGCCATTGCCTGGTACTCCAGGGGCTTTAAATGTGATTGGAAGTTTGAGATGCCTATAAATCGGCTTTCATGTCTAATATACTAGAGCATCATTGACCTGTTACTGATTTTTGCTGCTTGGCATTTCCTACTCAGAAAAATTTGTTCTCTTTAATTTCTACGTTTTTATTTTACTGAGAGAGGTCTGATGTACCAAGGGAGGTTGGATAAACATACTGGGGGAGGGGGGCGTGGGTAATATATGTTTCCAATTATGAAAGAAAATATTGACATGGGTTATAAGAAAGTTTAAAATTTTCACACATATTAAACCCAGCCTATTGATGATATGCTTCCTAATCATTTTTGAGTAAAGGATGGTTGTGAACCAAGAATACTCAAAATTGAAAATCAAAATCAGTATTGCAGTGAAACATGTATGGTATTTGCCAAAATGTTGGACAGATGATGCCAAAGAAGAGAGAGACTCTGGTTTCCTGAAAGTTAACCTTTTGAAAAGTTGTAAGATTTTAAAATTATTTTAGAAGTATATTTTCTTATAAGAGAATGCACTTATTTTTCTTTGAGATTGCAGCTATTTTCCTTTGATCTAGAATCTTCTCATTCTTTGATTTTTATTTAATTTTATTGTTACTAGATTATAAAGAATGGGATATTAGAGATTTTTCTTAAAAATGAACCTATATAAATTTTATTTATTTATTTTCTTAAAGATAGGCTCACTCTGTTGTCCAGGCTGGAGTGCAGTGGCAGTCATAGCTCACTACAGCTTCAAACTCCTGGGTTCAAGGGGATCTTCCTACCTCAGCCTCCTGAGTAGCTGGGATTACAGGTGCAAGCCACCACACCCAGCTGATTTTTAAATTTTTGGTAGAGATGGAGTCTCACTATGTTGCCCAGGCTGGTCTCGAACTCCTGGACTCAAGTGATCCTCCTCAGCTTACCAGAGTGCTAAGATTACAAGCATGAGACAGGCTCCCTTTTTTTCCTGTCTCATGATATCCATCATGTTCCTCTGATATCCATCACGTTGTTTATTTGACCCTGCTTTTAAAAAATAAGTACACAGAAGTCAATACAAATTAGAGGTTTGTTAGATTGTTATTTCCAGTGGTTTTTTAAAAACACTAATTGCAGAATTCCTGATACCATCCACATTTTAGAGCCAGGAGTTCTTAATCTGGGCTGAATGAACTCCTGGGGGAGGGGGGTAGTATGTTCTGAAGAGATGAACCATAACTTGGATCATATTCTCCCAGGGGGCCATAAGACAGAAAAATAACCCCTATTTTAGAGCATTTGGATCAAGCTATGTAATGACTCATTTGTCTGTGTTAAAGGCATTTCTCATTGCAATTGTGGTACCAGATGTCGAGACATTACGTCCCTGGGCCCAAAAGAGAGGATTTGATGGGTCCTTTGAGGAACTGTGCAGAAATAAGGTAAGGTTCTGAAGCGTCCAGTCTGTCCTCATCATAACTTGGCATTAAATGTACCTGTAGATATTCAGGGCCCTCCAACAGAGGAAGTAATTTATTTTTCTTACCCAATTAGGATGTCAAAAAAGCTATCCTTGAAGACATGGTGAGACTTGGGAAGGATTCTGGTCTAAAACCATTTGAACAGGTATGACCTGCATCTGAGTGCATGAATTCCTGTAAAACAAATTTTCCACTTGAAGATGTTTTACAGGTAGATTAGATAAACATATGGGGTGACCTAAAGACATGCATGAGGAATAAATAATGGAGCGGTTCGACAGGGGAAAGGTTTTTAAATCAAGAGCATGTATTCTTTTTTCCTGGACATCAGAATATGATCCTGAATCCTCTCCTAAGAGCTGGATGCCTGTCCTTTGTGGAGAAAGTGCAGCTTGGCTGAAATGAGAGGATAGATTGGATGGCGGGAGGATGTTGATCCCCTCCAAGGCTTACGTGCTTTTTAGACCGGTGGCCTCTGTCCTCTTTCCTCTTTTAACTGCCTTGTTTATTGGCAGGTCAAAGGCATTGCACTGCACCCTGAATTATTTTCTGTCGACAATGGCCTTCTGACTCCAACAATGAAGGCGAAAAGGCCAGAGCTGCGGAACTATTTCAGGTCGCAGATAGATGAACTTTATTCCACTATCAAGGTTTAGTGTGAAGAAGAAAGTTCAGAGGAAACGGCACAGTTCCACAATCTCTTCTCCTGCTGATGGCCTTGATGTTGGTAATTTTGAATACAGCAAGTGTAGGGAAGGAAGCGTTCGTGTTTGGCTTGTCCGTTCGGGGTTCTTCTTTCTTCTCATAGGAACGTTAGAGGAAACAGAACACTGCCTTACAGTCACCTCATGTTGCAGACCATGTTTATGGTGATACACACTTTCCCAAATGAGCCTTAAAAATTGTAAAGGGGAAAGTATAAATGTGCTAAGTTATTTGAGACTTCCTCAGTTCAAAAGGTGGGTTTTAAATCTTCTGTCTCCCTGTTTTTCTATTCAAGGGGTTAGGACTTTGCTATCTCTGAGATGTCTGCTACTTGCTGCAAATTCTGCAGCCGTCTGCTGCTCTAAAGAGTACAGTGCACTAGAGGGAAGTGTTCCCTTTAAAAATAAGAACAACTGTCCTGGCTGGAGAATCTCACAAGCGGACCAGAGGTTTTTTAAAATCCCTGCTACTGCCCCTTCTCACAGGCATTCACAGAACCCTTCTGATTCATAAGGGTTATGAAACTCATGTTCTTCTCCAGTCCCCTGTGGTTTCTGTTGGAGCATAAGGTTTCCAGTAAGCGGAAGGGCAGATCCAACTCAGAACCGTGCAGATAAGGAGCCTCCGGCAAGTGGGTGCACATCAGAACGCATGGATTCTCATTCATGGCAAAATGTTCTTGGACTCTGTTCTCCAGGCCTGATTCCCCCATTCCATCCTTTTTCAGGGGTTATTTAAAAATCTGCCTTAGATTCTCTAGTGAAGACAAGCATTTCAAGAAAGAGTTACCTGGATCAGCCATGCTCAGCTATGACGCCTGCATAACTGTCTACTTCATCTTCACTGAACCACTCACTCTGTGTACTGGCCAACAGATTTTTAATGTGGTTTTCATATCAAAAGATCATGTTGGGATTAACTTGCCTTTTTCCCCAAAAAATAAACTCTCAGGCAAGCATTTCTTTAAAGATATTAAGGGAGTAAATATACTTGGGTACTTATTGAAATGGACAGTAATAAGTAAATGTTCTTATAATGCTACCTGATTTCTGTGAAATGTGTTTGAGAAGCCAAAATTCTAGGATGTAGAAATCTGGAAAGTTCATTTCCTGGGATTAACTTCTCCAGGGATTTTTTTAAGTTAATTTGGGAAATTAACAGCAGTTCACTTTATTGTGAGTCTTTGCCACATTTGACTGAATTGAGCTGTCATTTGTACATTTGAAGCAGCTGTTTTGGGGTATGTGCGAGTACATGTATTATATACAAGCACAACAGGGCTTGCACTAAAGAATTGTCATTGTAATAACACTATTTGGTAGCCTAACTTCATATATGTATTCTTAATTGCACAAAAAGTCAATAATTTGTCACCTTGGGGTTTTGAATGTTTGCTTTAAGTGTTGGCTCTTTCTATGTTTTATAAACCAAAACAGAATTTCCAAAAACAATGAAGGAAACCAAAATAAATATTTCTGCATTTCAGGGAGTGAGGCATCTTTTTTAATGTCACGTTTAATATTCAGAACAGCCTGTAATGTGCACAAGCAGAGAGCAAGAATGGCCCTGGGCCTGGAATCCTTCCCAGTTGTCTCCTTTTCTTCTTAGTCACCCTCCTCTAACTCAGCTGGCCTCAGACACTGACACTGACCCGAGCCTCCCACCAGGTTGTCTGTGGCAAAAGTCCTAACTGGTTGTGGAAAAGAAAGTCATGGTGTGAATAACAGAGAAGGTCCTGAAAATGCAGCTTCCTTGCTGGAAAATGGATTTCAGGTGATGCTGGCTGTAACTGGTGATTCTGTGGTGAATTTAATTCCACTATTGTATTTTAGCAGTATTTAGTATTCTCTTACTGTAGAATTATTTTAGATGTCTCTTTATAGCGGCCAACTTTTTCTTGTTTCTTTTCTTCTATCTCTACCCTATTCCTTCTGTTACGATTTTAAAGATTTTCTTTTCCACAGGTATTAATGAATCAACCCCCCAATTTCTTCCAAGCCTGTTGTGTTTAAATCTAGTTTCCTCTCTTAAATTCTGTTTGGTGTGATGATGTGCACATCAAGCCCTGTGCAGATGTTCTCTCATCCATCTTCCACTTTTATTTATTAAGATCCTTATCTTAGCGGGGGGCAGTGGCATGCACCTATAGTCCCAGCTACATGGGAGGCTGAGGCAGGAGGATCCCTTGAGCCCAGGAGTTCGAGTCTAGCCTGCCCCTTAAAAGAATTATTTTTGAGACAGAGTTGTGCTCTTGTTGCCCAGGCTGGAGCGGAATGGCACGATCTCAGCTCACCACAACTTCTGCCTCCTGGGTTCAAGCTATTCTCCTGCCTCAGCCTCCCGAGTAGCTGGGATTACAGGCGCATGCTACCATGCCTGGCTAATGTTTGTATATTTACTAGAGACGGGGTTTCATCATACTGGTTAGGCTGGTCTCGAACTCCTGGCCTCAGGTGATCCGCCCGCCTTGGCCTCCCAAAGTGCTGGGATTACAGACGTGAGCCACTGTGCCTGGCAGGAATTTTTTTAATGCAGATCCTTCTCATGTCTTTTCTCAGCTTACCTTCCTCCCCTTCTCTCCTGATGAAGTGTGAGGTTCTTAAGGCCTTTCCTTTCTCCTCTCTCCCTTAGCACTAAACGTAGGGCTTAGAAACTAACAGATGTTCATTAAATAAATCTTTTGAACAAATACCTGAAATTTTGAACAAAGCTCCTGTTGCAATGAGGTTGATAATAAACACTGGGCTCTTTTAAGATCATGGTGAAATACACATAAAGTTAGCATCGTCACCATTTTTCAGTGTACAGTTCCGTGGCATTGAGGACGTTCATACTGCTGTGCTCTCATCGCTACCATCCAGCTGCAGAAGCTCTTCATCTTGCCAGACAAACTCTGTACACGTTAAATGACAGCTCCCCGTTCTCCTCTCCCATTAAACTCCTGGCAGCCACCATTTCTTTTCTGTTTCTGTTAAATTGACTAGGTACCTCATATAAGTGGAATCATACAGTGTTTGTCCTTTTGTGACTGGCTTATTTCACTCAGCATAATGTCCCCAAGGCTCATCCATGTTGTAGCATGTGTCAGAAATTTCCTTCCTTTGCAAGGCTGAATAATGTTCCATTGTGTGTAAAGGCCACGTTTTGTTGACCCACTCATCCATCGATAGACACGCAAATTGTTCTTACCCTATGGCTATTGTGAATTGTGCTGCTGTGAACACTAGTGTACAATTCTGTGGAGTCCCTGCTTTCACTTCTTTTGTATATATGCCCTGAAGTAGAACTGCTGCATCATATGGTAATTCTATGTTTAATTTTTTTTTTTTGAGGAAACGCCATATTGTTTTCCACATCAACTATATCATTTTACATTTCCACCAGCAACGCACAAGGGTTCCAATTTATCCACATCCTCACGAACACTTGTTTTCTGTTGTTTTCAGTAGTAGCCATCCTAATGAATGTGAAGTGTTGTTTCATGGTGGTTTTGATTTGCCTTTCCCTGATGATCAGTCATGTTGAGCATCTTTTCACATGCTTGATTACCATTGGTATATCTTCTTTGGAGAAATGTCTATTCAAATCCTCTACCCCTTTTTAAAAAATGAGTTGCTTGGGATTTTTATGTTATTGAGTTCTCTATATATTCTAGATATTCATCCCTAGACCTGGTTTTAATTCTTAATTTTCACTGCCCTGCTAGGGTTCAGTGCCTCCTTCACAGCACTAGCGATGTGACGGTGCTTCTCCCTCAAATCAAAACCACCTCAAAAGCCCAGTGGTCTCTCTCCAGCCAGAACAGAAACGAAAAAATATGATTGATTCCAAGATAGTTGTTTGCCTGGCTGTGTGGCAGTCCTTTCTTCCATCCAGGCCCCTGGCACGCTAATACTTCTTTCCGCAACTTCCCTGAGAGCCGAAGTCTCCAGGAGGACCTGAGTCCGGAGGCCCAAGTAGGGAAGGGAGGGTCTGGCAAGAGCAACCCTGCTGCCCTCAGAGCTCCCCAGGGACCCCTCCCAGGCCCCAGCCCTGCCATACCCTCATTTGACATCTAAACTCAGAAAGCAATCTATTTTTAAGTCTATTTGGCATGTGGTCGTTAAATATTTTTGTCCCACTCCCTATTTGTAGATTATTGTAATAATTAAAATGTGTTGCTGCACGCCAGGAACATTTTACGTAAATTACCCATTTTATACTTACAAACTTTTGAGCCAAATGCCGCCATTATTCCAGTTTACAGATGACGAAATGGAAGCACACCAATAATTTCATCAGTGTCATGCCCCCAGACAGAATTAGAGCTAGCCATCTGCTTCCAGAGACTGAACTCGAAACCTCATGCCGTGGATCGCTGTTCCTTCTTGTGTGTTTTTGGCACTGCGCCTCCTGAGAAGACCTGGACTGCTTGGTGCCAACAGCTCTGCCTCCAAGCTTCAGAACAAATGGTTTTGATTCCCATCTAATGGCTTTTCTTTGCCCCAGTAGAGGCGAATGCCACTTCCCAGAGTTTTATTCTGGTTTTATAACTTAGCAGAAATGAAACCCCAAACCCATCAAGAACAAAAGCTTGATAGAAACACCACTCACCAGGTGTGGCGGCACACGCCTGTAATCGCAGCACTTTGGAAGGCCGAGGCAGGAGGATTGCTTGCACTCAGGAATTTGAGACCAGGCAGGGCAATGCAGTGAGACCTCGTCTCTACAGAAAATAAAACAATTAGCCAGGCATGGTGGCGTTCACCTGTAGTCCCAGCTACTTGGGAGACTGAGGTGGGTGGATTCCTTGAGCCCAGGTCAAGGGTATGGTGAGCTATGATCTGCTACTGCACTCCAGCCTGGGTGACAGAACAATAACCTATCTCAAAAAAACAGATACCCTGTATTAGGAAAAAAATATGCATGAGTCACAGATACGCAGGTTCACGTGATTCCCCAGAACTTCCACGAATCACCAACCATGGAGATAATAATGGCCATAGGTATTGTGGATTTGCTAACGGGCAGTATGCCATGCTGTGCTCTTCACGTATGCTCTCATTTAATTCTCACAAAACCCCTGTTAGATGGGTGGTCAGTCCATAACGATGTATTCACTATCAAGTAAGTGCCAGGCACTACTGTATGTTCTGGAGGTGCAGCAGCGAGTGTGGCAGACGAGATCCTTGCCCTTGGGAGGCTTACTTCCTCATGGAGAGAGAGAAGGAGGCAACTGACAAGAGAACAAACGAATAATGCCTATTGTGATGGATGCTTTAAGGAAAGCAGTTGTATTGACGGTGCCCATTTTTAAGTGTTGTGGTCAGAAAAAGGTCTCTTTGAGGAAGTGACATTTTGGGGGATAAGCCAAAGAATGAACAGAAAGCCTTACAAAGCTCTGGGGGAAACGTTTTCCAACAAAAGAAGCCCTGGGGTGGGAAAGAGCGAGGCCCTGGGGTGGGAAAGAGCTCGATCTATTCAAGGAAGTGAAAGGAAGCCAACGTGTCTAAAGCATCATGAGCAAGGGCAAGAGTGGACTGGAAAGAAGTTGATGATGCGGGGCCAGGTTACCAGGCCCTGCCGCCCAGTGGAAATCTCAGTTTTCCACTGGTTTAGGAGGAAAGGGTTTGGGGCAAGAAGTGACATTCCTTGAATTCCCCTTTTGGGAACAGCTGCTGAGGGCTAAGAGGAGAGGCACAGAGACAGGTGGAGACAGTATAATGTGCGAGGGCAGCTTGAGCCAAGTGGGTGGCAGTGGCTGGAGAAGGAATTTATTTGAAAGCAGTTTGGAGGTAGAACCACTGCGTGGGAGGAGCCAGGAGCAGAGAGGGCTGGGGGTATGAGCATACTAGGGTAGATGGTGGCGCTGTGCTTACTGAGACGGGGAAGATGCCAAGGCATGTGTTTAGGAGGAGGGGATCAAGAGCTTGGACTGGAAGTTTTCACTTGAGGTTCCTGTCAGACCACCACGTGAAGAGACACACGAGTCTGCGGCTCAGGCTCAGGAGACAGCTCCAGCTGGAGAGAACAGTTCAGAAAGCCACCAGCCAGAGAAGGGATTTAGAGCTGTGGGACCTTATCAGGTAACCCGGGGAAGATGTGTAGATAGGAAGTGCAGTAGAGGACCCAAAACAGAGTCCTGGGGCCCTCTGACGAGAGGGTTAAAGAAGGAGCCGGCAAGGGTGATTGAGAATTACCTGCCTTGCAGGAACGACCAAAAACCAAGAGTATGGGGTCCCTGCAGCCAAGGCAGAAAGGCATTGTGGGAAAGGCGTAAGAGGCACTGGTTAAGGCATATGCTGTTAAAAGCAAAATATGTTGCCAGGCACGGTGACTCATGCCTGTAATCCCAACACTGAGAGGCTGAGGCTGGAAGATTGCTTGAGGCCAGGAGTTCAAGGCCAGTCTGGGCAACTGTAGCAAGACCTCCGTCTGTACAATTTTTTTTTTTTTTTAAGGTAGAATAATGTGGGGATAGTCCACTACATTCAGCAGTGGTGGTGAC